CCTCATTATTTTTGTAGAAATCACATGATTTTATGTCCAATCTAGGGTTGGGCAAATCTCTTGAACCTGAACCCGAACCCGAACCGAACCGAATCGAACCCGATGGTTCTTGTCAAATTAAATACCCGAACGGGTATCTGAATTGAGAACCGACGGGTACGGTTCGGTTCTTAGTTCTAGACCAAGAACCGAATAAGAACCGAATCTTTCTAATTTTTTTTTTATATTGAGTAAATCAAATTATTTTAATTTTAATTTTTTCTAAACAAATTAACGGTTTCTAAATCCAAATTTTTGGCCAAATAATTTGTTTCATTTCTAATTTTTTAATTTTTGGCCCAATTACCCATTTTATTGTTTCATTTCTTAACCAAACAAGATCAAATCCACTAAACAACCCTAAACACCTACACTAAAGTGCATAATGTTGTCTCGACTCTTGCACTCACTCTCGCAGCCTTGCTAATATTCCAAAACCTATACAATCGTGGGCCAACACTGTGACCTCCAATCGAAACTGTGACCTCCGCCGATTGAAACTTTGATCGTAACGATCATTTGAACAAGGTAGTTTACTAGTTTCTAACATTCCAAAACCATTAAATGTATCATTAGTTGTATTTATATAATATTGTTATAAATGTTAAAAAATTTAATTATAGTACAGAACCGAACGGAACCGAACCTGAACGGTTCCATTTACTAGATATCCGAAAAGTTTGGTTCGAGAACCGAACCGAACCGACCCGCGCCCACCCCTAGTCCAATCTATTCTTACTCGATCAATTCAGAAATTAAGAATCTTGATATTGGAGATGTCTATAGTAGCATCCTGACATTCAATTCGATAGGGAAGATGACGAAAATTCTACAAGTACTTTCAATTAATTTTTTGAGATTCTCAATTTTTTAGATAATCTTTGGAGCATAACGTGCAAGAGATGGCATCATTTGCTCTATTTTCTGGAAAATTGAATGAAATTGATATTGGTTGGGACTTCTTACAAAGGTTTATGTTCTACGTGAAAAGTAAGTATGACAATGTTCTAGAGTGAACAAGATCAAATTGATTGTTATTTATGAATTATTAGTGAATAATATTATGTGTATATCTCAAGGTGTACACACAGCCTTATATCCCCTCACATGAAGAGGGCCCACACACATGTCCCCCGATATGCGTGTGGATCCCCTTCATGTAACCAATGAAAGCCGTAAGTAAATGATTATGTACACGTAGTATTGTCTATTCTTAATTTGACAAGATGCACGAAGTGCTAAATAATGAGAGATTTATATCTATTGTGAGCACAAACATTAATTGTTATACTTTTGTCAAGATATATTCTTTTGTGTTTATTCATTGTTTGCATGATTGTTTGTTTTGTATTGGGGAGCAACAAGACTATTTTAAGTCCATAGGTTGTTTACTCAAATGATGATGATTGAATGTTATAAAAAAGTTTAACTTGCTATTATTGAGCATCGTTTGATATTCAGATGAGAGTTAAAATTTGATCCAGCAAGTGATATCGAAGTTAAGATAATGAGTTTGAGTCACAAGAAAGTTAGGGAGGGTTTGTTGGGGGGCAACAAGGTGTGCATTAAGCTCATGGGGTTGGGTTAGTCAAATAATGAGAAATTTATATCTATTGTGAGCACAAGCATAAAATGTTATACTTTTGTCAAGATTTATTCTTTTGTATTTATTCATTGTTTGCATGATCGATTGTTTTGTATCGGGAAGCAACAAGACTATTTTTAAATCCATAGGTTGTACACTCAAATGATGATGATCGAATGTTATAAAAAAGTTTAACTTGTTATCATTGAGCATGATATTTAGATGAGAGTTAAAATTTGATCCAACAAGTGATATCAAAGTTAAGATAATGAGTTCGAGTCACAAGAAAGTCAGGTTAAGGAGGGTTTGTTGGGGAGCAACAAGGTGCATATTAAGCTCATGGGGTTGGGTTACTCAAATGTTGGCAATTGAACGTCATAAAATGTTTAGATTGTCCGCACCGAACATCATGTTGATTTTCTAATAAAATAGTTGAAACACATTCCTAATATTTTAAATAGCGGTTGAAAGATTGGTGGGAAGGATTGCAATTATAGAGAGAGGAGTTGGGGCTAGCAATGGAGGAATTAGCGATTCAAAGGAAATGGATGAGCAAATAGGTCAAATAATATCGGTGGCAAGTAGAATTCGACGAGTTCGACTTGGTTATGGAACATTCCCTCCAAGAAGTGATTCTTTATTTATAATCTTATGCATTATAGAAAGCACTTTTGAATTTAAAGAGTTAAAATTTTTATGCACTTCAACAAGCTCTCTATTTTGACTCTTAATTTTGTTTTTTCCAAGAAATATTTATTAAGTTCTTTTCATATTTTATAAAACACAATTATTTTATATGTCAAATGTGGTTTGAATAATTTAAGAAATTGAGTATTGAAATATGTGATTTATAAAATACAATCATTATACATTAATGGCCCATTCGACTTGATTTTTGAAAAGTCAAAAAGAATTTTTAAGATCCAAAAACTCCTTTTGAGCCCATTTGACTAATTTTATGAATGTGCGTCTGGTAGATAAGAGTTTTTGGAGAAAGTTGATCAAATGTAACTTTCTTTAAAAGTACTTTTGGAATAGGAAGTGTTTCTAAAAGTTAGTTTCTAAACAAAAATTGATGTAGTTTCATTCAAAAGCTCTTTTGTAGGAAGCAAAAACAAAAGCTTTGTTAAATGGGTTCTAAGAATGAAGAGTGAATTTTATTCTCTAAACTTGGAGAGTGAAATACACGTCCTATTTTAGGAAGTCAAAATAGAGAGTATCTTGAATCTCGTTTTTAAGCATTGACTCTCTAAAATAAAAAATAAAAAAATTTAATGAGAGAGTTTCTTAAAAATACTCTTATTCTTTATTTTTAAAGAGTATATTCCACAATTTAGAAATTGCTTATAAATTTCGAGAGTAAAATTTCTAATTACTTCAACAAGTTATTTATATTTAATATAGAACACTTGTTTGGTCATCATCATTTTCAAAATAAATTTATCTCTTATTTTCAATCACACATTTTTTGATAAAATAATATTACACGCAAATTCAAATTTTTTTAACCATACATTTTTCAGCAAAATATTATTTCAAAATACATTTTGAACAAAAAATTGGGCTCAAACTAACTTTTGATTTTATTACTCCCACAAAATATTTATTATATTTTCATATCTTTATTTTTCATTTGCTTCTCTCCAAATTATTATATTATTTTCCTTAATTGAAAATTGAAATAATTAGAATTCATTATTCTTTAAATATAGAGAGAGGGCTTGTCTCTCCAAATTTATTGTCTCATACATTAATTACAAACTGTTATGTGTATGGTATATATGGTCACTATTGATAATCTTTATAGTGAGTAGCACTATTCATTAATTATAGAGAGTGTATTTGACTCTTCAAAACTCTCTCTAAATTAAAATAGCCACATGGAGTATAATTTTAAAAATTGGCTCTTTGAAAAAAAAAAATCTTATACTTATAGAGTCTCTTGAACATATTTTTACACTTTTACATGTAATATTTCAATACTGAAGCTATTTCTAAAAGTGTTGTAATAAATTCGCTCAATGTATAACTTCAGTTAGACAAAGCTCACCTGTATTTTGCTATTGTGGGAGAGCTATGTAGTAAAGGGTTAAATCCACCAATAATCATCCAACTTTATAGTTGGTCTCACTATGGCCATGAGATCATTAGATTTGATTTTATTTAATCATGGCCATCCAATTTCATATAAAGTTTTACTATGATAACTCAACTTCTTTGCAATCTTTTTACTAATTTGAAAATGGAGAAGGTAACTTTGAATTATATTTATGAAATGAATTTAAAAAAGAAAAAAATAAAATAAAAACTTATTTAAAAAAATAAAATAAAAACTTTTTAAAAAAATTATTTAAAAAATAAAATAAAACTTATTTTAAAAAAAGTTACTAAAAAATATAAAATAAAATAAAAAGTTATTTAAAAAAAAAAGTTACCTAAAAAATTAGCCAAATTTCCCCTGGCCATTGGGCCTAAGCAGCTCGGTTATGAGTTATGCTACTTTTACAAAGGGGATTGACAAAGTTGGATGACAAAATCACATTCACACCAATCATTTCAAAAATAGATTGTTAAATAATTGAAATTAATGATTTGGATTTTACCAACACTTATAACCCAACTTTGTATAAGTAGTTTTATTGTAGCGAAAAAGAATTTCAATTTTGAGCTACTTCTATGATTGAATATGCATCTTTCTCCAAATAAAATAAAAAGTTATTTTCAAAAAAATATGTTCCTTAAAAAAATAAGATAAAATAAAAATTTATTTGAAAAAAAAATTTAAAATAAAAAAATAAAAACTTATTTTAACAAAGTTACTTAGAAAAATAAAATAAAATAGAAAATTATTTTTAAAAAATGTTTTTAAATTTATTATATATATATACACACACACTAAGTTACTATTTTACCCTTTTTAGAATTAGTAAAAATGGTGAAAAGAATTTAAGTGGCCGTAACATTATATGATATTGGGTGGCGAGGTGACATCAAGTGTAAAATTGAGTGGCTATTGGTAAGTTTTAACCCATGTAGACGTAGTAACTATTACATTCAAAATCGGATCATCTTCATCTTAAAAGCATATTTTGTAATAATCCCAGTGTCCCAGGGCAGTCCAGGAGGAACAATCAACATGTTAATCTAAAAGAGCCATTTTTAGTCAAGAAAAGTTACTCCTATAGTCCTATTGTCCTGTGCCCCAATCCATTTGAGATAATCTTGAAAAAGAAATTAATTGGAAACCATAAAACGAACAACAAAAAGGGTCAAATGATTCTATCTTGCTAAAGTCTCACATTTGATTTGACTGAGACACACAGTTACTTGTTTCAAAGTTAATCGCATTATGCGACGGTTGGTATGTGTGAAAACCATTAAAACCATTGATTCTTTTCGTACTTTCCCACATGCCATTTGTTCCACTGTACACATATAAATCAGACTTGTCATCCCCACCCTTCATTCGTGTTTATCCAGGAATGTAAAATTATACAACACACACATAAAAATTCATAAATATAGACAAAAGTTTGAATATGGTGTGGGGAGAAACGGAATTATCAAAAATCGGTGGCTTTTCCAAGAAATCAAAGCTGGATTTTCATGTCCAAGAATTGAAAGAAGAATTGCAAAAGATCGATGCTTTCAAACGTGAACTTCCTCTCTGCATGAACCTGTTAAAAGAAGGTACAAATATTTTTCTTTTACATTTTTATTGGATTTTTTTTCTAAAATTTATTTTGAGATTTTTGAGTGATTGAAATTTTTGGGTAGCAATTAAGAGCTCGACTGAGGAAGGGTTGCAATGGAATGGAGAAAAGGTGGGGCCAGTAATGGAGGAATTTATACCAATGAAGAGTGATTCAGAAGAACATGACGGGGCAAAAAAGTCAAATGATTCGAGCGTAAAGAAGAACTGGATGAGTTCATTTCAACTCTGGAGCACACCTCCTGAGTTGGAGAATAAATTTGATACCACAAATCAAGAATCTGATTTGCACTCAAAATCAGTTAAATTTTTAAAAATATTTTACCTTTCTTTCTACTTTTCTCCCAAGAAATCTTATTTGAACGTGATTTTTTGTTGCAGAGTTGCCAAGAAGAGGATGGGATTTTGAGTAATCTGAAGAAACCAGTGAAGGAAGAGAGAGAATTTATCCCAGTTGAAACCCTCTCACTCTCAATTCCTGAGGCTAAAGTGGAATCATTTGATTTGAGTTCGAAAGTGAATTTTGGTCATGCGAGGTCTCAACTGCAACAGAGGAAACAGAGACGTTGTTGGTCTCCAGACTTGCATAAGAGTTTTGTCAATGCTCTTCATCAGCTTGGTGGAGCACAAGGTGAAGAAGGACCATTATCCTCTTTGTCCTACTTTTTATTTATTTGTTCGGTCATTTGTTTTGACATGTTGAAGGTTCAACATTATTAAAGAAGAAAAATAAGCTAAAATCTTGTTCATCTTATAGCAGCTACGCCAAAGCAGATAAGAGAATTTATGAAAGTAGATGGCCTTACTAACGATGAAATCAAAAGCCATTTGCAGGTATACTACTAATCGAGAAAAAGAATCATTTTGCTTCTTATATATGGCAATGGAACGATTTGATTATACACTTTTGGTGTAATTTCAGAAATACAGGCTTCATATTAGAAAGCTTTTAACTTCATCAACCAGTCCATTGGGTTGCTCGAAGAAAAGTAATGTGAATTATGGTTCCCCTCAATGCCCTTTGCACCTGGGAGGGTCTGCTAAGGGGGAATCGGCCACTCGTGGTGACAGTGTGGAAGAAAAAGAGGATGAAAAGTCGGAATTCCATAGTTGGAAGGTTCGTGTTCAAAGTACGGTTGAGGGACGTGTATAGGCAGCTACATCCCGGATTTTGCAAATATAAACATAGGAGAATCATCAAAAACAAAAAATTAAACTACAAATAATTCAATGTTAAGAGAGTTGGTGAGTTTATTCTTGTCTATTTTGAGGCTACTGTTCCTCAAGGAGAGGCTATCAGACATTTTTGAATCTCTAATTTCTTCTGTTATAAGTTAATTTGAACTCCTATAATCTATAGAACTAGAAATAGTTTGATGAAATATTATTTGGTTGTGCTTGAATGATGATTGAATATGTTACTGCTAATTTCATTTGCCAATTTCTTGTTCAACCCAACTTTTTAATATCTGTATAATTCTTTGAAGGGATCCAAGTCGTGCTGGAATAATTATTCTAATTTAGTCCCGGTTTGTCATACATTTTGTCAAAATTATTTTTTTCCAGAACTTTTTTTCAATCATACATTCACACAATAAAATATTTTTCATATAAATTCAAATCTTTTTCTTACCTTTTAACTATACATTCTAAAACAAAAATAAATAAATATACTAAAACTCATTTTCTTAAAAAATAAAAAATAAAAAGCACTCTTTTTTATGTTTGTCAAATAGATGCTTAACAAGTCATCCCACGCAAATGCCAGTCAAAACTATTGCGTAAATTCTATGATTTTGGCTTTTATTGAATGTAAATATTACTATTGAGCAGTTGAAATTGTTCACACATTTTTAATAATTACAAGGTGACCTAAGAATGTCATGGTCAACAGTCCAATAATGCTATGCTGAAACCTTTTTATTCGGTTTTCATTTTCAAAAATTTATTTCCCCATCTGTTGGATTTTTCTTATCGTAAGCGTATGATATTGAACAAGTATAAATACAATTTATCGAATTTGGATTTTAAAAGTATGAATATGGATGTTAAGACTTATAATTTTACCTATGAATCTCCTTTAATTCGCCAATCAAGATTTATTACAATTGTAGTGTTTTATCGAATTCTTCTAAAGTATTCAATTTATCCCTCCTGAATTCTCACATAGACTATTTATTCAATCACGTATCTCTTTGCGAATCAAATTTAGTTAAACGAAATATTAGTTCTAAAAATTCATCTAAAGACCACAATAATTAGTATAGATATCTCTAAATGTTATATTAAATTATTAAATTGTAATATGTGGTCTAAATCTATAACTCATCTCTTGGTTCATAATAGATTCACAAAATCATTGAATAATTGGATAAAAGAAATAAAGGGTAACACATGCATTTAAAGAATTTGAATTTTGAATAAAAGAAATAAATGGTCTCACATAGATTACATTGCTCGTCATACCTATAAATTTAGCTAGTCATAATAATAAAAGAAAAATAAAAAGTATAGAGTTCATAATCGAGTTTTAAAATCTTGATCATAGAAATAATTTGATCTTGTATCAAGAATTGTCCTCAACCTCAAAAGTCTTCAAACCTTAACTTAAGCTCTTTGATTTTGATGATTATGTGTCCCCTCTTCCTCCAAAAATTGTGTTATATAGGGTTGTATTTATGTTTTTTCAAGTTTTGAAAGAATTTTAGTTGAATTAGACTTTTAAAAAAATGAATTGCATTTAAAAACTTTTTTTGTGGTGGGCGGCGCCCACGTGGCCCTGCGGAGCCGCAAATATGCCCTTTTTCCCGAGAGTGGGTGCCTTGGCTCTGCCCGCTACTCCAACTCTGGGCATGATTATTTTTGACATAACTTTCTCTTCTAATATCCGATTAAAATGATTCTAAGTACGTTGAAAAGATAACTCAAAGGGCTACAATCTTGATAGAGATAACTTTTTTAATTTGAACATTTGCTATGTCAAATTAGGTATCAATCTTCAACTAAAAATTTGAACTAAAAATCTGGAATATACTTGTGTAATTGAAAATTGATTTGTGAAAATATTTTGGTCATACTTCACTCCTTTTGTTTTCTAATTGCACCCAATTGACCTTTAGCATTTTCAAATCTTCATCGTGAAGTCCAACAAAACTTTTGAGTATTTATGCTTTAGTTCTCAAACTTTGAATCTTGCCATTTTTCGCTTCTTTTTTTCAATTCCATTTCATTTCATCCAGTTTCACGTAATAAATGAAATATACTATAAATTAAACTACAATTGTTCAAAACAACTATAAATATCTATATTTTTAAGTCGAAATAAGTGTATAAAATATATTTATCACCCTCAAATCAATTTTTAATTGTACATTTAATAGGATCCACAATTTTTATTTTGTCAACCACACATTTCATCATTTTTTTCTAATATCTATTAAAAATTTGATTTTTAGTTAAACCTAATAGTGCCAGAATTTTTTTACGGGGAAAAAATACGGTGGGACTGTGATGAAGCACACCTTGTGTAGTGTGGTCCATTGGGTTCAAAGATGTTATTAGTATAGATTTAAAAAAATTAGCCAGTAAAAAATGCGGATAAAATTCAGATAAAAAGGTTTGCTTCCTGATGGTGAATTGTTGACCTAATTAAATCATAAGCTCTACACGAGAGTGAAGTGAAGGCGAAAGGATTGCAATGTTTAGTCATTCGTGGACCTCGTAGCTAGACTTCTAGAGTTGAAGGCAAGTCCAGCTTGGCACTCAATTGTCAATGGAGAAACGGTCAACAATTAGCCATCAGGAAATTACATGTCAAACCATATTATGGGTTTGTATGGTGGTGTTAAAAATTGATGGATTCATGAAATGTATGATGATAATATTGATCGAAGTTGTGAATTCAATGAAATGTGCGATTAAATTGCACTTTGACCAACTTTTTAACAAACAATAGATTTTCGAGACACAATTAAATAACATGTTATTCTCATAAATACTTATACTTCATTGCCATTCATTTACAAATTTTTAAGTCTTCAACTTTAGATTTAGTAAGCGTTTTGAGAACGTGGACCAGACAAATGTGACCCAAAGATGAGTTTAGCTGGATGCTAGCCCGTATTAAGCCAGATAAGTGTTGGGTGTAGAAGGAAATAGATAAGAGAAATATGAAAATTTTCTTATGAAATTTGAGGAATTACAAAGGAGTTGCTACAACACACTCATTCTCTAATTTTTTTGAGAGATTTTTCTCACTTCTTCTACATACATAACACTAGATGGATACCTTCCTATTTATAGAGAATATTGAGTAAACTAGTCCTAAAAATTTACTACAATTACAGCAAGATAAAAGTTGTTTTTTCTTCATCGTGTGGAACTGGAAAATATGTATTTGCAACTGTGTTTGATTGATCGATGGCTGCTGTTTGATCTACAACACACTCATTCTCTAATTTTTTTGAGAGATTTTTCTCACTTCTTCTACATACATAACACTAGATGGATACCTTCCTATTTATAGAGAATATTGAGTAAACTAGTCCTAAAAATTTACTACAATTACAGCAAGATAAAAGTTGTTTTTTCTTCATCGTGTGGAACTGGAAAATATGTATTTGCAACTGTGTTTGATTGATCGATGGCTGCTGTTTGATGTTTAATTTTCAGATTCCAACTTGCAAGGTTGAACATTGAAGTTGAGTATACATCTTGAATTGAAAATCTTATCCATTTGATCATTCAATGAATGAAACCTTTGTTGGTTGAAACAGACCTTACTGAAATCAGACCTACTAATTGTCATACAAAATTTGTTAAAATTTTCACAGACCCTGCAAAAATCTTACCTACTAATCTTTATACAAAATTTGTTCTATTTTTCTCACTCTTAAGTACCAAAATTATACAAAGCTAGTGATATAAAAGGAAATTGGAGTCACATTCTACACTCCACAGCAAAGTCACAACATGCAAAAATGGGAAAATGTATACTAAATGCCAACACAAAGAGAACACTATAGTTGATATCAGCGCTACTCCTACATTCGAAATGTAGCACCAACAAAAACTTGTCTCCTATAAACCCAAAAGTCAATAAAAGAAACTAATTCATTCTCTCGGATGGGTTGCAACTCTCTATATCTCTACCGTGAATTTGCTGCAAGAAAAAGCATATAAAAGAAGAATAAATCAGAATAAAATTGAACTTCAACAGCCACAGTATGTTTATAAATTTAGTAACAGGACTATGATTCTTCAATGCTCAATTCAGACAGGAAAAAAATGGGGAAAAGGATCAAAAAGAGCCAACCTACCTTTTTTATTTTCACATTGATATTGACACTACTACTGCATATAAGTATAATATGACTAACCAATATAAGACTATAGTGTCTTCAAAAACGCCCAATACAAATTGTGGTACAGTTGATATTCGATGTAAAACTTTATCAAAGATTTGATAACATGAATCCTAATTACACATTCTTTATCAATGATTGGTAATGTACTCTGACGATCCAAATAAATCAGATGAAAGTGACACATCCTTTGATCACTCCACCAACGTAGTATTGTCCCTCGGGCTAAGAAAGACGATGCCAAATCTTCCCAACATTACGGATTTTGGGCAACTAAGATTTTAAATTGTTTTTCTTCTTTTATACTTATGAAACATGGCATTAGTAGCTTCTTTTATGCATAGCCAAACATGCTCTAGAGTCTAGATGAGAGAAGAAAACGAACCGTATGGACAGAAACTGCGCAGAAGGTTTACCTGGATCAAAATATTGTTGAATGAATAAAGCTCAGAGGGAAGCCATTGATTTTGGACAAGATGCTTTTTGAATTAAAATCAAGGATCAAAACTCCTGCCCTCTTCCCTACTGGCGCTATGTGGCTGTGATGTTTGAAGTTCCTGTGCCTGATGATGAGGTGTAGCATTCAGTTGCTGTTGTTGCTGGATTGAAAGTTCATATGGAAAAAGATCGAGCTGTTGAGGGTGATGAGAATGTGACTGCTCCGCCGCCTGCTGCTGAATGTGATGACCGTAAGGGTTGCCTTCATTAGAACCCAAGGCCAAGGCAAGCGGCATGTTGGCGGCGGCAGCAGTGGCCGGAATCATTTGATTAAGTCCTGTGAGGGTGACAGTCCCTCCTGCAGTCTCAAAGCCACTGTTAAATCTCACTAAATCATTCTGCTGCAGGTGCAGCTGCTGCTCATAATTCCTAAACATATCCAGCTTCCTGGCGGCAGCCGGCATCGCTAACTGCTGTGCCTCAAGAATCTGTTGCTGCTGTGGCGGTGGCCTTGGCCGTGGCGGTGGCTGCTGCTGAGAGTCTCGGATCACCAGCGCCCATTGTGGAAATACAGCCGGCCCACCCATCATCGGCTGCATATTATACGGCATCACTTGATACGACGAGGCCCCAATGTTCGGACGCTGATGCATGAATCCTGGGTGGTTCAAATTTGGCAACATATCAGAAGGCCTAATATGTTGAGCCAATTCATTTTTTGTGTTGTACAAATCGTGCTGTACTTGCCTGAGCTTGTGATACAACAAGTAAATAAGGCCAACACAGCCATACACAGGATCACGAAGGCGATACGCCGCCTCATAGGCTAAGGAATTTGCTGCAGCCTCGCGCTGGCTGGGATTGAGTTCACTGAGGATCTTTGAAACATTACTGGCGCCGAAGACTCTATGAACATTGTCGAATTTCTGAGGGTTGTCGGGCGGAAAATATGGCGCAAACACACAATCTTGTGTGCACTTTCGCCGGAGAAACTTGCATGCCGCACATGAAGAGTTTGATGATGACATTTTTCTCTCCTTCACTACTACTGAACACATCATCAATCATAAAGATCATCAATTATTTGAACTTTAGCAAGCCTGCGAAATCTGAAAAATGGGTCCTTTCGAATGTAACTAAATATACCCGCTTTCGAATTTTGATTTTTCTTTTTCTTTTTTTTTTTTGTTACTGAGATGTGCGTAATTTACAAATAAACATACTGGTTCAAGGAAATGCGAATATTTTATGCTACCAGTTGAACAAGAGTGTAAAAGCAATTATAAGAAGCCGACATAGGAATTCAATAAATTCATACTCAAAATCCAGGCATTGATTTTATATATAAGTAAATCAGATTCATAAGAAGGACAATTAAAAATGGAAATCAACAAGAATAAAAGGAAAAAACAAGTTAATATTTACAAGAACCAAAATGAAAGAGAGAGAACTGTGGTAACCGTGAAAATACGATAAGGTTTCACTCTCTCCCTCTCTCTCAAACTTCATCAAATTGGATCTCGGAATGCAAGAAACTGTTGGTGTAGTGAAGTATTTTAGATCCAAAAGATAGTAATAAATAAATCTGATACCGTAAAATCTTTTGTTTAACCCGCACGAATTCAAACGTCAAAATATTTACTCATCTTTAACCAAACCTCATTTTTCAGTCAAAACGAATAACAAAAAAACACAAAAAACAAAAATGAACGAAAACAAAAATAAAAGGAAATGAATCTTGAAACTCTTACCTTCGATTTTGCTTAAAGGTAACTATGTTATTACTCCCTAGTCCCTCCGCAACCCCCGTCTCATCTGCAAAACAATACAACAGGAAAACGAATATAGAAGATAAAAAACCGTACGTCGTCTTTCGTTGAAAAACGAAAAGAGTGTGGAATATCGAGAAATGAACCCTCGTTTTATGTAAAAAAAATGAAGACCTAAGGGTTCGAGTACGGAAGTTCTTGATCCAATCTTCAACTTCCGCAATCCCAAAAAACTGAAACCAAAGATATACAGAAATATATGTGTATATCTACTTGTATGCTTTTCTACTTGAATGGGTGAGAGAACCAGAGAGAAAACAATATGGAATATAGAGAAAGAAAATGATCATTGCCAGAGAGAGTCTAAGTCATTTTATGTCTGTGTTTCCGTGTGAGTTCGTGCCCGGCCGTATGTGTATGTGTGTGTGTATATATATACAGTACACAGTATACTGGGGTTGATGATGAAGGACAACTCTCCAAAAGCGTGTGTTCATGGTGCAAATGTGTATGAACCGTTGGATTGAGAAATGTAGAAGGGTTTGTTAAGAGTAAGGACATTTTTATTCTAAAAGAGAATGATAAATGCTTTCTCTGAAGTGCCTTATTGTTCCCGTACGCATTGCATCCAAACTGCCCTTTCAATATTCAATCATACTACACATACTGGTTCAAAAATAGGTGAAACATGTGTTGATGCGTAATTGAACAATTTGAAAAATTAAAACAAAAAACACCAATAATTTGTTGCCGAATTAGTCTGTCTTCTTTTTCTCTATTTTTAAGCCAACCTAAGTGGCTTTATTCTTTTAACTAAAGGTCCTCAATATTTACATAAATCATCTTTCTTTAAGATGTCTTCGTTTATGGCAATTATTACTACCTCTGACCATAAAAATAAATTTGCCTTTCTTTTTTATCATCTCCAAATTTTAGATCACTTTCCTTATTGAGAACATTGTAAATTTCTTAATTTTCTAATATATTCCTATTTAATGTACATTGTTATCAACAAATATAAACTACTTTTATTTAAATAATTATTTAATATATGGATATATATTAACAAAAAAAAAATATTTTCAACTATATTAATTACATTTTCTTAATCTACGTAAAAATAGAAACAAGGCTATATTTGTGGGATAGAGTGAGTATTATTTTTATTTGTCCTTTTTTTTTTTTTAGTTTAAAATGTAAGGAAGAATTTGATATTTTCATAACTATAATTGTGATAATTCACTATGTCTATCGAGTAACATTTATGACTATTAATGTAATATTTAAAGTTGAATAAATTACGTTTTTCCAGGCTAAATTAATTCCTTTCATTTAGATATCTTCTTGACGCAAGGCGACACTAAAGATGAACTGAGAAGACTTGCACGTTTTTGAATAATATACGGGATTATGAAATATTTGTGTAGGTGAAATCTTCTTGTGTTTTAACTGGTGGCGAAACATTTTTACTTTTTGGTAATTCATAAATTTGTCTCTTTATTAAATGTTTCTTTAATTTGTCTAAGCCACGAAATTATTTTGTGATACAAATAAGCTTGAATTAATATATTGCTATAAAGTATAATTATACAAAGGTAACACTATCTGTTTGCGTTACTTTAGTAATTTACCTAATCATGGTTACTTGTGTTAATATGGAGTTTACAAGCAATAGAACTTCAGATTAATAATTGCTTTCCATATACTTGGCAAAAATCATTGAGCTTAAATCTTGTTTAAACACATAATTAATTTCACCGTTGGTCCTCAATTTATTGTCTCAATGAAAAGTTAGGCCTCAAGTTTAAAACAAAGCAGGTTGGCCCAAAACTGTCATTAACATTTCAAACTGCTATTGCCATTTACGCAACTATCCAAGTCTTACTTTAGTTATCACGTAATCCTAATGAAAATCACACCGCTTGAAACTTCTAGACATCATCACAAGTATAGAAGCAAAACTTAGCTTCAAGTCCGACGATCATTAGAGTTAGAGTTAAATTATATGAGATAAACTATATTCTCGTGAAATTGATTTCTTGATTCTCACATTTATGCTTAATCAATGCTGTTTCGGGATCACTCACCGCCGACAGGAGCTTTATGAAAAGACGTTTAAGGACCTAGTGATTGTATTTTGCGGAGGGGGGGGGGGGGTTCCTCTATTTTTGGGGCACCTGCGAATAGAGATATTGGTTGGCCCTAACTTGCCATTTTCAATGGGACTGAAGCGACACAACCTTGAGCATCCACCCAAGAACTACCAGGTGAAAATCCAAGACCTCTCACATCCAGATGACCAGATCGTATTCCTGCACACACTACACCAAAAATTACCTTTTGCAGCAGTCAAAAAATGTTGCCTATTGTATTTTGCAGTGTTCGGGTGTATGTTGTGGGATGTGTTGTTGTCGTAGAGTCTCGAAATACGGCAACGTTCATTGACCATTGCAAAAGGTCAAAAAGAACATTACCTTTTATTTTTTGCAACGTTCGGTTCGGTGATTATTGCCAAACACATTTAGCAACATTCTCCGTGCGTTGCAAAAAACCTTTTATCAACGTTCAACAAGTGTTGCAAAAACTTTTAGCAACGTTCGTTGACCGTTGCAAAAAACCTTTTAACAATATTCACTGAGCGTTGCGATAATTGTTTCAACAACATTCACTAAACGTTGCAAATAACTGAGCGTTGCAAATACTATCCTTCTGTTTCAATTCTTTTATCCTTATTTTTGACAACATTCTCTGACCGTTGCTGTAGGTTAATTATTTACCTTTTCTTTTTCAATTTTATATATTTTTTAATATCAATATAACCAATTTCAAATAAAACAACAAAGTTAAAAATATTTTTTGGACCTGATAAATTTCATTACTCCATAAAAATAAACATAAAACCCACATAATTGCCATAAGGATAACTATTGTAATTCATCTCACAATTACAAAATATGGATATGATATGAGTTGTAGAAGACTTAAATCCTAGTTACAAAATAAGGTCATGAATTTGTACCTTAGCCATGTGATAATTGATTAGTCGAGCTTGGAAACTTTACAAAGGCCTTTCACCAAGTTCTACAAAAAAGAAAGCCGGGAGCTAGCATTCACCAACCACTTTCATCCCTAAAACAATTCGCCAGAACCATCATATATTCTATTAGATTCTGTAAACTATATCAAATTTAATCATTTCGAAGGAAAATAATCGAATTTCATAGACATTAACGCAGAAAATGTAAAGTTATCTTACATGCTAAAATTCTAGGACTTTCATCAAGTTTTTTTCTTTGACGAGGATTGAGTCTTGAGATGAATTATTCCACATACAAAAGCAACCAACTGCACCACATATAAATTCCAGTCATGATCATATTATCTATTCTCGCTGCATGGAGATGCAAAGGTAGGGCTCACTCAATTTAGAAGAAAAAAGGATATGTGCTTCATGATCATGATAGGTGATTATAAAATCGATGCTATACTTGAATTTTGCAAGTAGTAAATCAGTTCTTAATGAATAAACAATACCGCGTAGGAAATTTTCATTGATCAAACCATTTTTTCCTAGCATGCACGGATAATTCACACAGAAATACAAAAATGCAGAAATGCATTACATACCTTGTCAAATAAGTCTAATACTGCTCTTTGGTCAAGCAATTGTACTTCCTATGGTTTTACTAAACACTCAAAATTCATCAGTAGGTATATATAAGTTCAAATGGCCCATATAATATTCCTCAACTCACACCTTCCAACAATCTCGTCCGATTGGTACGTGATGGACCTTTGCACTTGGGTTTATTGATGCAATCCTTCCTTCAGCTACAATTTCTTCCTCTTCAAATATGCACCAATGCAACAGCTGACACCTTACATTTTTTGTATGTGCAATCCCTCAATGGATACCACTTCCGTGTTGTGACTACAAAATCAAAGTAAAGTAAATTAGTATGCTATATTCTATGTTTATAGTGAATACAAAATAATTTTTTAGATACAAAAACCTGAGTAAAAGCATGTGAACTCATGTCGTCTACATTCTTGTTTTGATTCTATAAATGATATAAAAATTAAAAATTTATTGTCCATATTGAGTTATGCGAAGCTATATTATTATTGCATATATAATGATAAAAGTTTATAACCTGTTGAGATAATTGAAGAAGTGTTTCAACCTTTTCTTCTAGCGCTCCAACCTTTTCTTCGAGTTTTCTCACTCTCCCATTACTTTGAATTTGTCCATCTACTTTCGATGGTGCAACTCCAAATCCAAGTCCTCTAACTCTTCCACGACGTCCAGGTCCTAAAACTCGAGTAATAGCATCATCGCGGATGGAATTTTCTACTGGTGTATCAGAAATTGTTTGGACACAATCTTCTATCCTTTTCTGCACTTACGGAACTCAGATTAGATACTAACTTTGAATATGTATAATAAATCATATACATTGAAAGAATACATGTACCAAAGTTGCGGCAACTGCTTCATTTATAGGTGTACCATCCTTTCTAAGATGTCCATGCATCCATACTCTAGTTCTTAACCCCTTTAAATCCGAATTCTTTTCTCTACAATATAAATCCTGTATTTATGTAATGACTGCTTGAAGGAAATCAACAATGGTGTGTAATACCTATAACTTAGAAGAAATGAAACTCCATTCCTAACCAGACAAGATAGGTGTGTAATTGTACCATTTCATGAGCTGTACGTGAATAACCCTTTCGACCCAAAGTGTGAGGAAGTTTTTGATCCCTTCTCAGTTTCCTGAACCTGAAACTTTATTCTTATTAAGAAAACAAAACAGTAAAAAAAAACAACAACAACTAAATGAAAATATAACGTTAATAAGCAAATATTTCTTACTTTGAAGTCAGCAGAAAGAGTAGCCTTGACAAATTTTTCCCATGCTTCTTCATGATTTATATTCTTTGGTCTATGGAGGGCAATGGTTTATGTTCTATTAACAGATGTTGCTATTTCAGTTAAAGGAAGCATCCAATCAACCGGGAATCCTACCTTTCACATTCTACATCTGCTACTGTTGGAGTGGATAATGCCTCCACTACCTGTGCCAGCAGTTTTCTCAATCTTGCTTTGAATGTCCTCCAATATTTTCCCATACATTGAAATGTCATTTTTTATGACAATCACTGATAGAATAAAATTTTAAGGTTAGAGAATTGGATGTTCATATAAATGAATTCAAGGTAAAAATTTGTGCAACAAAAGTTGTACCATAATTTTCTCACATACTCCGAAGGTATGTTCTTTTTTTTTTTTTTTTTTTTTTTTCAAGTGCACAATCTCTTAGTCTTCATAAAACACAAAAATATATCCACAGCGAATAGTTTTTACGAATTCAAAAGAAAAATAATGGATAAAAAATGGATTTGAGTTAAAACTCAAGTGATAAAAGGAATTCAATTTTATTATTATTATTTTTTTCTGGAAAGCCGAAGCTCCTGTCGAGAGAACATAAAGATAGAGGACTAAAAATTGACTACAGTGACAAGGGACGATACTAACAAGGAACCGTCATTATAATCATTGAAGACCCTAGAACGATACACATTGAAACTACAAATAATAAGACTACTGAAAAAGGAGGAGGCGACAACAACATTGCAGCCTAATCTTTCACCTTACGGGAGCTGGCTACAACAACGAAGAATTTCAGACAAAAAAAACACCCATATAATGTGAATTCAGTTGATATAAAAAAAAAAAACAAAAAAAGGAGAGAAAGAAAAAGCAGAAAAAACCAATTTATGCTGAAATCCTGACACGTCCTCAATGAACCAAGAGATTGAAGCAATTGACCGTTTTCTTTCAGTTAAGAGTTTCGTAGGATATAACAAAGAAGTGCACAATATATACTGTGACATTTCCATTATGTGTCAAGTGAGCAATGGAGGAAATATTAAGATACTGAAGAAATTTAGTAATTACGTACATCATCATAAAAGGAATCAACATACCTGCTCTTCCCAGAGATGGGATCCTTGATAAGAGATTCAATTGCAACTACAAGGATGAAATCATAAGTCCGAGGTTATGTTGAGAAAGATTCGCACCTGTCAGCATAAATCATATACATAAATAGATGGTTAAAATTCAATCATACATTAATATCATGTAGGATGTGTAAATGAAAGAAGCAACAAAAAATTTCTATTTAAATTTCATCACCCCTAACTCTATGCTTCAAAATGTGTGAAGATACGCAGGGTATTGATTAAGTAATTATAAATAGGCTAAAGTCCAATAATGAAGAGTAATGATATGGAGTAGTAAACCAGTTTGTCACTCTAAAGAATAAATACAGATCTATTATTGATTCAGCAAAGAGATCATATATAGTGTGTGATGGCTATTATAGGAGAAGTAATTGAAGTTTCTCAAGAAGGTTCAAACACTAAACAAGTGCTTGCAAGCATGCTAGATGCAAATGTTGAAATATCTACATAAAATGAAAAACAAAAGTGCTACAATCACTCGCCAATCGTGGTACATTCCAATAAGACCACGGTCAAATATGACATCAAGTGTTGAAGGCTTGCGAGCAGGGACAACATTCATAACCCAAACAAGATATGATATTAGTGCAGCAGCAAAACCACCGAAAAATGCATTCATGTCCATGACATTTCGTATGGATGGAGATCCTAGTCTCAAGTTTAGCGTATTTTTATAGTAAGTGACCCTTCTCAACCATTTCTGGTTGCCATTCAGTATTTTTCTTTTTTGTGCAGCGTCTTTTCTTTAAATTTTTTTGTTGAGATTACGACAATATTGGTTATCTTTTTGTTTTAGCTTTACTTTTTTCTTTTAGTTTAAGAAATACTTAATATTGTTTTTTGTTTTGTTCGAGTATTCTAGTAAGAACAACTGAGGAAATCGCTTGTAGTGGTATTAATATACTCAGGCGACTTATTAATCCTGGTTAATTTAGAGGAAATGAATTGATTTGTTGTTTTAATGCAGAAATCAGTTGTCAAATAATTCAAATGATAAAACAAATTCTCAGGATTAAATTGAGACTTCAATACGAATTACACAGAGTTAATATTTGAAAGGTAAATCTAAGTTTAATATTGCATTGTTCTCAGTGTATCAATAAAATGAACAGCAAATAACAGAAAATTTGTAATAAGTGAAGATGGGTGGAATTTTTGGAGAACTTGATTGACGTCATTCTATTGCTTATATGTTCAGCTAAAATGGACTTAAGTTGATGGTGAATGAATGTAAAAAAATATTCTTGAAGCCTTGTGGGTAGGTCATGAATTGTAACCTGTTATGTCAAAAATATGTTTAGCTCCTGCCCATACTAACAAGGAACCAGCATTCACCAATCCACGATCTCATTAGTATCGTTCATATCTAAAAAGTATGTCCAACTTTCCACACCTGATCATAACAGTTCCTAACCACACACCAAATCTTTTTTGGCAGAGAAACCAAACGCCAGACAAATACTGATTTATGAGCATAAAGTTCAACAAGTGGAATAAACAAAAGTCAGTGCAAACGCCAGACAAACCACACACCAGAATTAAGCATAAAGTTTAGTTTATGAGCATAATCAGTGCAGAATTCAACAAGCGGAATAACAAAAATCAATTCAAACATTCACACAAACTAATTTATTAAAAAAGAAAACAGAAAGAAAAGGTACCTTATGGATTACATAATTTCATCTTCAAAAACCTAACTTCGATGCCTTTATCTCACAAATATTCGTAGAAATCAACTTCTTCAATAGAATTGATCGATTTCGATGGCTTAGTAGTACTTCCGGCAAGTTTTCAAGAATAACCCAGAGACGCGAAAAAACTAGGGTGGCATATGAGAGGAAGTGATGAGAGACGAATGAGAGGCAGAGGTGTTCGACGAGTAGATGATGAGAGACGAGTGAGAGTGAGAGGCAGAGGCGTTCGATGAGTGAGATGATGAGAGACGAGTGAGAGGCAGTGGCAGAGAAGTGGAAAAACTAGGGCATTTTGGGGAAACACCTCAAATTGAACTAAATAAAGGAATGTTTTTTCAAAATAGCCTTTGACTTTTCTAAACATTTTGGATTACCTAAAATATCCTTAAACAAATATTAAAAAACAACCCTTTATCTAATATAAATCTTCTATTTAAGACCTTAAAAAATTAACAAATAATTTTTCTAAAAATTTGTGAGAATTATTAATGACTAATTATAAAATAGAAAAACTCAAATATAAGAGAGGACCATATAATATAAAAAAGGTTGTTAAAAATAAAAAAAGAAATTAAGTTTGAAAAAGAAATTGATAAGATAGAATATCAAGAACAATTATATGCATCACAAGAAATATTAAAATATTTCAAAGAAAACTTATTAGAAAATTTTGCTAAAGGAATTGTTAGAACAATAATTATAAAAGATATACAAGATATCATAGATAAATTGGAAAAAAGGAAGAAAAATATTTCAAAATATGATATACCTTTTAGAACAGATATAGATATGATAACAGATATTGATATTATAAATTCTCAGACATTATTAGACTTTGAAGAATTACTTAAAAATCTATAAGAAGGCAAATAAAAAATAGATTAGTCTTTATCTTAAGATTTTATTTTAACCTAATAGTAAAATAAAAGAGTTTTTGGAATATAAAAAAAAAATTTAGATTTTTAGATTCATGATTATTAGATTTTTTAGATTATTAGATTTTTGTTCGCTCATAGTAGCACCCGCACAGTTGAAATTTAGATTTTTAGATTCATGATTATTAGATTTTTAGATTATTAGATTTTTGTTCGCTCATAGTAGCACCTGCACAGTTGGTATCAGAGCCATAGAGATCACGAGAGAAAATATAAAAAATAAAATTATGATTTTAGAAATTATTGAAACTTATAAAAATAGACTAAGGTACCAGGTAAAATATAGTTATGACATAGAAGGCTATATAGAGGAAGATTAAGGTACCAGGTAAAATATAGTTCTGACATAGAAGGTTATATAGAAGAAGATAATATAGTTGGAACATATAGTAAGGATATAAAAGAAATATTAGAAATTTTTAGAGTAATTAAAAATCTACCTTTAGAATTAAAAGAGAAAATAATTAAAAGGATATTATTTGAAGAATATAAGCATATATATATATTAAAAGTAATTCAGAGAGAAATAGATTTCATAATAGTCTGAAATTACTTTATGGAAATTATAAAAATAAGTAATTATTATCAATGTATTGAAGAAAAGGGATGTTATATATTTTACAACCCCATCCCTAATAAATTAAAAATAATAACATTATATATAACTAGAAATTTGCCTAGAGAAATAAAGGAACAAATATTACATAAATTAATTGTAGGATTTATCAAAGATAGACGTACATATGAAATAATTTGCGAAATATTTGAAAATGAATTATACCAGAGAGAAATATATGAATCATCATAAAAATATAATGGAAAAAACTAAAAATATTTTAGAAAGGAAGTTAGAAAGAATAAGA